AGGTATAGCCCATAATGGTACTTTAAAATCACTTTTATAATATTTTCTCCAAATCCTAAGTAAAGAAATTCTTAAAATATGAGATTTAAAAGCCCAATCTATTTTTTTATTAAATATTAAATAGGCATGCCACCCATAAAGTAAATCCCATCCCTCTAAGTAAAGTATCTCAGAATTTGTCAAATTTACCCAATCACTAATTAATGTTAAAACCACCGCATCATAATATAATTTCAAATTTGGTACCTTAAGTCCACCCCTCTCACGGAAGTCTTGCATAATTTTAAACTTAACCCTTGGTTTTTTCCCTGCCCAAATAAATTTGTTGAGACCCTTCTGCCACTCATTTAAATTAATCTCATTTTTCAAAATTGGTAACATTTGAAACAAAAAAAGAAACTTGGGTAGAATATTCATTTTTATCACTGCAATTCTTCCCATGAGGGATAATTGCAACTTTTCCCAATTCTTCAAGTCCTTCTGTACCCTGACCCACAACCTTTCATAATTATTTTTAAATAATTTTGCATTAGAAACAGACAGCATCACCCCCAAATATTTTACCTTATTAACAATCTCAAAACCCGTCAAGTTGACCAAAATCTGCTTCTCCTGACTCGACATATTTTTAGGTAAAATTTTAGTCTTATTTACGTTAATCTTAAAACCCGAGACCAAACCATAATGATGAATCAACTGTAATAAGTTTACTACAGAATAATCAGGTTGCGACAAAGTAACAACCAAGTCATCCGCAAAAGCTCTCAACTTATATTCTTTTTTATTAACATATATTCCTTTAATTTCCTGAGACTCTCGAATTTTGATCAATAATATTTCCAATGTTAAAACAAACAACAATGGCGATAAAGGACACCCCTGTCTAGTACCTTTCTCTATTGTAAAAACCTCCGACAAACCTCCATTAACAATAAGTTGTGCCGTTTGTTTTTTATATATTACCGTAAGGGCTTGTAATATCTTTTCACCAAAATTCATTTCTTCCATTACTCTTAACATAAAATGCCAATTCAATTGATCAAATGCTTTTTCAGCATCTAAAAATATGAGCCCTGCAGGAACTTGGTTGTTCTTGTCTAAATATTCTAGTAAATTAATAATTTGTCTGACATTATTTTTCATATACCTTCCTGTTATAAATCCTGATTGATCTTTATGCACAAGATGATGCACCACCCTCATAAGCCTATTTACCAAAATTTTTACAAATATCTTATAATCCACATTTAAAAGAGATATAGGCCTGTAATTTTTTGGTAGGGTAAGATCTTGATCCTCCTTTGGAATCAATGATATAAAAGCACTACGCCATGAAGGAGGAATCTCTAAACCCTGTAAAATACCATTAAAAAGATCATGTAATGGTTGGATCATCTCCTCTATTAGAACTTTGTAATAAACAGCTGTTAACCCATCCGTACCCGGTGCTTTCCCTAATTTCAATTGTTGAATTGCTGAGGTAATTTCCTCCTTAGTAATTAAACCATTAATTTCATATTTCTGATCCTCAGTCAGTTTAGGAAAACTTGCCTCAGCTAAATATTTATTTATATCTAGCATTTGTATATTAGTAGATTTATATAGGTTTTGATAATAATCCAAAAAAGATTTTTTAATCAATTCCTTCTGAGAAACTAATTTACCCTTATAGTTTATTTTCTCTATTATTCTTTGTCTCTGTTTCTTTCTTAATTGATAAGCCAACCATCTCCCAGGCTTATTGGCATTACAAAATGTATTTTGTTTCATAAATAATAAGTTGGTTGCAGCTTGGTCTGCTATCAACATATTAAATTGTGACCTTAATAACTTTACAGATTCTTTAATACTCTCATCAGAAGGATTTAAAATCAAAGCCCTTTCTTTTAATTTAATTTCATCTTCAAGTTCTCTACGTTTCTGAATCTGATTTCGCTTATAAAAATTATTCATTTTTATCAAAACACCGCGCATAAATGCTTTACCTGCATCCCATACCATTGACATTGAAGTCCCCTTATACATATTCAAAGCAAAATAGTCCTTTAAACACTCCTTTAGTTTTTGAACATTCTTCTCTTGTCTAAACAAATTTTCATTAACTCTCCAGGATCTTCTTTCCTCTTTCTCTTGAATCAGCTCCATCCAAACTGGACTATGATCCGTCAGTGATCTAGGAAAAATCTTTACATTCTTTACTTTATTATACAAGTCCGTGGTAATCAAGAAAAAGTCAATTCTTGAAAAAGATTGGTGTCTATCAGAAAAAAAAGTAAAGTCTCTCTCCTCTTGATTACGTTCCCGCCAATAATCCCTTAATTCCCAGTCTTCTTTCATGTCAAAAAAGGCTTTAGGTAGCCTTGCTTGTTTAAGAAAAGGAGAGGAACCTTTCTTATCCCTTAGTGTATCTAAGACACCATTCCAATCACCCATTAATACCACTGATCTATAATCAAGCAAAGTTATTTTTTGATGTAACTGTTTATAAAATTGTTCCTGTTGTTGATTTGGAGCGTAAAGTCCAACTATAAGTACTACTTATTGACCATCACAGGAAATTCGGTGTTTATTATCCTGACTAACCTGGACCATCGTCTACACACCCCGATATATTTTTTTCTCTGGAATTTCTCTGTTATGGAAATTGGTTTCACCACTGTCATCACCCCTCCAACCTTGTCACATTTGCTGATGGGTCATAAAAATGTTCCCTATGTTGGTTGCATGGTACAGTCTTTCACGTATTTCCATCTGAGTACCACTGAGAAGACCTACTAGACCTACTGACTAGAAGACCTAGCATGTTTTTCCCCAAATAAGACCCGGTCTTATATATTTTTTGCCTCCAAAAGAGGCACCAGGTCTTATTTTCAGGGGATGTCTTACTTTAGGGCTGCCACAGCCAGGCCTTCAACATCCTGACACCTGTCGCACTGCTGCTTGACTTCTTTAGTGGCTGCTTGCTGCTGCTTGTGGTCAGATGCCATGTGGCACATAGCGGTGGTGCCACTGCTGATGGCAGGAGGCCGCATGGTGCTTTGGGATGGTGCCACTTCTCACAGCAGGAGGCCACATGGTGCTTCGGGCTGGTGTGAATGGCACCAGCCTGAAGTGCGGTGCGGCCTCCTGCCACGTTACCAGCCATGCAGCTACAAGCAGCCACAGAAGAACTCAGGCAGTTGCAAGATAGGTATTGGGGCATGGGAGGTCTGGCTGCGGTGGTCCTACTGGTAAGGAAAACAGGTTTGGGGTGTTTGGGGCAGCTCTACCCCCTCACTCTTGTCCTAGCTTGATTTTTAGGTGTGTCCCTTGCCCCCAAACTAGGGCTTATTTGGGGGGTAGGTCTTACTTTTGGGGAAACACAGTACTAGGTCCCTTTCAGCTCTATTCTCTATTCAGATTATTTTGGAAAATAATAAGTTTGTCAGTGTGTCTCTGTGTGTAATAGAATAACAGAGTTGGAAGGGACCTTGGAGGTCATCTAGTCCAATCCTCTGCTCAAGCAAGAAACCCTATACCATTTCAGACAAATAGTTGTCCAACCTCTTTTTAAAAACCTCTAACGTTCCAGTTACCATTTGAAAAATCACCTTTGGGATTATTCTGTTGAAATGACATATCTATTGAACCAAGGCCAGCCAAAGCACAGGGGAAATTACCTATCCCTATAACATAATGAGATGACATCATTTTTGCACTCTGTGCTTCAAAAACTAACAAACCCTAGGTTGTGGTTTATAAATCACAGCAGTTGATGTGATTTATCACAGATGTGAAGGCAGAACGAAAACACAACCAAACTTGGTGTGTGGCATGAGAGAGGGCAAAATAAAGTGCCATACATGAGGAATGTGCACACAATGATTTTCCCTGTCTTTGGGTTTGACATCAATAGAGGAAGAAGTTATAGAAAACCTGATACAGATTCCCCTGCAATGCATTTTATCACTGCTTAAGGAGGTTCTGAGGGAGCTTTGCAAGCCAATCCTGTATACCTCTTACACCACATGCTTCAAAACAATAACAAGCTCCATGGTTTATAAGAAGTTACTTCTATGCTCATTGCTGTGAAAAAAATATGTATGTATGTACGCAGAAAAATTGTCCTCTGTATATCTGTGATCCAAGAATCTTCTGAAAGGCACTCTTGATGGTGAATGTTCTCTTTTCCCAAATTTGAATTAAGGAGTAATGTTCTGATGGATGCTTTTTCCTTGTTTTTTATTTATCGATATATTCAACCCAGTCTAATAAACTAGAGGATGGTTTTACTGGCAGAAAGAAGATAGCATAGGGTTCATGAAATCTGTATGAATATTTTAATATAAATTGGAAATGGTAAGTATTTTGGAAATGTTTCAACGCTTGGGTCAAGAACATTGAGGTTTAATTCTGCTCTGAATATCAAGACCGTGACTGCAGAGTTTCTGATTTTTGCAGTAGGTAAAGGCTTTTTAATGTGTGATGTTTAGGATGCGTTTAGAAACAAAACTCAAGCCCATTTTGTTTTACTCCTATAATTCCTCATAGGGGAATATGCCCTGCAGAACCCATTAGAACTTACTTCTGAATCAAGTCTCTTTTGATCCTAGTTTATAAGCGTGCAGGTTGTATTTGCCTGGCTGACAAATCTGGATGATGAATATTTTGTCAGAGAGTTAATTAGTCTGAAATTTCCCTGAATAAGCTTTATGTTGAATTCATCTCCCCACTTTACCCTCATGGCAAAATGCTAAGGAGATGTTAACCAGCACAAAGGTGTTGTCCTAGAGTGAACTTCCAAAAGGGACATTTAACAATTAGCAGGTAACCTATTTGCCTTCAGAAGTTCTGGATGGTCCATCACTGGAGGCTTTTAAGAAGAGGCAGGAGACCACTTGTGTGGCATGGTATAGGGTCTCCTGCTTCGGACAGGTTGAACTTAAAGACCTCCAAGGACTCTTCCTACTCTATTCTTCTCTATTTCTGTATTATCTCTGTTACTATGAATCCTCTTGTAGACCCAAGAAGGGAGGATCATTGGGAAGAAACAAGGGACTGATGAATTTTCTACTGTGTCTACAATGGAGAGACACATAATGTGAACACTTAGCTTTCCGAAGAAGGATCTAATGGTTAGAAAAATGAAAAAACAACAGAATAGGACAATCAGCAGTAAGGTGGACAGACTCAGTTCCAGCAATGATGAACGTATTATTGGAAGACTTGAAGGACCAGGTTAAAGACAGATCTTCTGTTCAGTAGGAGTTGGAAATGATTTGATAATTAATCTATATTGGACATATTTCCAATTTGGTAATACAGTATTATTTTTTCTTTTCTTTTATTCCCCATCTTTCTTCCTTATTCAACAATTATCCAAAATTGTGACTGGAGCTGTCACCCTTGTTCCAGGAAGTTCTCAAAAATTATTCCTCTTCAAGCGAGATTCATCATTTTCTGCTAGTGCAGCAGGATAAGTCTTAAACCCAGAGAAGCTGCTAAGCGGTCCAATTATGTTTTCTGAATGCAGCTCCATTGAGAAGAATGATAGGATCATCTTTTCTTCAGGACTTGAAACATTATCAATTTGAAACACAAGGTTAGTAGAAATAACTACTTAGCATAGTATTGGTAGAAAGCTGTTCAATATTCACTGACCATTATAGAAGATATAAAATTACTGTAAGACTTTTTTTCTCAGAAATACTACACCTGCATTATAGCAATACCACTTAGATTATATACCGCTTCACAGTGCTTTACTGCCCTCTCTAAGCAGAATTTTCTTCTGACAGAAAGAGAAAAATGACTTTTCTCAGGTGAGATGGGAAGAGAGCACTGAGCAAATATAAAATAATCAGATACTTTAACCATGCAAAAATAGATTTTTTTCATGACTCCAAGTATGACTTATTTTGGACAGGTGAGAACACAGTGTGGTTTCCTATACTCTCTTAGGCTGATGACTACAAGTACCTTGATCCGATTCAAACCATCATTTATTACTTATGTCAGAGACCAACCATTTGATGGTCTACAGAGAATTAAAGCTGGTGAAATTGTGTTCATTTGTAATGGGCAACTGAAACAAAATTGAAGTTGGAATAATCTCTTCTCACTTCACTCTTTTTTTAGGAATGAACTAAATGGCAAACAGCACCACAGTGAGGGAATTCATATTGTTAGGGCTGACTAACAACCAACAAATTGCTGTTGGCCTTTTTCTCATCCTGCTTGGGATTTATTTTTTGACATTGATAGGAAACATGTTGATTATTATTATCACATTGGTGAATGCCCAACTCTGTAGTCCAATGTATTTCTTCCTCCGACATGTGGCATGGATAGAGATTGGGTATATAAGTAGCATCATTCCTAAAACGCTGGCCAACATAGCCACTGGTAACAAGAGTATCTCTTTAGCTGGTTGCTTCGTACAGATGTTCCTCTATTTTGTTCTTGGCACCACTGAATTCCTTCTACTGGCCACAATGTCTGTTGATCGCTACATAGCCATCTGTAAGCCTCTCCACTACACAACCATCATGAATGAACAAATCTGCTCATTATTGGTACTTTGTTGCTGGATTGGGAGTTTGTCACTCATTCTAGTTCCATCTGTTCTTTTCTTTCAAATGCCATTTTGTGGTCCTAACATCATCAATCATTTCTTTTGTGACAATGGAGCACTAATCAAACTCTCATGTGTTGATACCAGCCTCCTAGAACTGATTAATTTTATGATTGCCATATTCTCTCTGCTTGGGACCTTAAGTGTCAACATTGTATCTTATGTCAAAATCATTTCCACGATTCTGCGCATCCCATCAATTACAGGGAGGAAGAAGACATTCTCCACCTGTGCATCTCACATGACTGTGGTCTCCATCACTTACAGCAGTTGTGTTTTCATGTACATAAGACCCAAAGGCAGCAGCAAATTAGATTACAACAAAATGATAGCCCTTCTGAATACTGTCCTGGCTCCACTTTTGATCTCGTTCATATATTGTTTGAGGAACAGACAAGTGCAGGATGCATTGAGGACTGAACTGAGACAATGGATTGAGTTTTGCAAGAAATTGAAGTGATTTGTCATTGATATGACCTTGAATCAGATTTTAAAGTTCAACTTCTGCTTTGTTAAATTATGGCATGCGCTGCTTTCAGATGTAATGATCACACACTGAGGTGGTTTATAAGAGGACGTGGTAATCAGGAAGCAAAGCATCTGATAATCCTCAACAAAATAAAGCACAATATATCAGAAACATGCACAAAATATTTTGTTCTGTCTTTGGGTTTGATATCTACAGAGGAAACTGACATAAAATGCTTGATAGATATTTCTTGCAATTTGCAATAGGTTTCTTTGATCCTCAAGAAGTCCCTGTGGGATCTTCACAGTTAGTTTTGAATACATGTTGCACCTTATGCTTTAAAATGGTAACTAGCTTCATTGTTTATAAGAGGTGGCTTCCATGTTCATTGCCCTGAAAATATATGGAAGACAGCAAAACTGCACAGCGGGTACATCTGAGAATGCAGAAAGTTATGCTTCCCAAACATTGAATTAAGGGGTAACATTTTAACAGATGCATTTGCTTTGTCTCTGATTTGTAAGCAAAATCAGCACCATGTCACAATCTAGAAAAATGACTATTACTCACAGAAAATTGCAAGACCATAGCCTAGAGACCATGAACAATTTCTGAATCTGTTTTGTGTATATTGTAAGTGGTGGAAATACTGCCTGCCAAATATAAACTAAGGAGAGAAAAAAATGATATATATTGTTACTTTGCCTCTGATTTGTAACATTATTAAACATATCCTCTATAAAATGTTCTGTTTCTTAGCTGAGAGAGCAAGTGTTGTCAAAAACAAAACAAAACCCTCTTTTGTGGTCATGTGGCCAGCATGACTATATGCTGAGGCATACAGAATGCTGCTCCCTTCCTATCAAAGTGGTACCTATTTATCTACTCACATTTCTATGCTTTAGAACTGCTAGGTGGGCAGGAGCTGCAGCAAATTATGGGAGATCAACCTGTTGCACAGCATTCAGGTCTCAAATGTAGGCTGTCAGTTTTCCAACTAACAAGCTCAGCATCTTTAACTGCTGAGGCACCATGCCCTCTTTCAAAAATATACTTCCCTTCTACTATCCAATATTCAATAGTGGTGAATATCTGTAGCTCAGGTGTAGGATGAGGGTAAAAGTTCATTGTCTGAGCTTGTGGGTTGGTTTCCAAACATTTCATTACCAGGCTAGGTAACATCTTCAGCAGAGTTTAGGGGATGTCAGTGTCAGCATTCTTCTGTTTATAAGGGCTTCAGGTGTGGATGTGTCAAGTGAGGGTCTTGTGATGGGTCTTGTAATGGGGAGGCTACAGTAGGTCAAGCTCATTGGGAGGTGAACTGCTGATGGAGGGGTGACTTGCATGGGTTGGTTGAGCATTGGTGCTATCTCTGGTTGGCTGTTTGATTGATTTAGATTCTGAGGGGTTTGTAGATTGGTTGTACATCAATGGTGGGATTCATCCAGTTCGCACTGGTTCTATAGAGCCAGTAGCTAAATTTTGTTGAGTTCGGAGAACCGGTTGAACCCATGCTGCTTCTGGAAGTTTGTTCTAGGCCTTGGAAGCCTGGAGGAGGTCTCCCAGGCCTAGACTGGCCCACCAGAAGTGTATTGATGTCATTTTTGGAAGTCCGTTCTAGGTCTTGGAGGCCCAGGGCTGCATCCACACAGAGAAGTGGATATTCAGGTATTTAAATCCCACCACTGTTGTAGGTCAATGTGTCTATTGATGGAATTGCTTGTGGAGTGCCAGGCTTCGATTGTCCAATATCCCCTGAGGAAAAAAAAATGATTGTGGAGTAGAACTGTAATCTGAGAAAACATTTCAGACGTGACCCTCCCTAGTTCTTCTGAAGATAAGAAAAGAAACAATATGCATTCAGACTTGCAAGATTCTATTACTACAATCTTTTAATCAAAAGATTGTTAGTGTGATGGAATGTAGTAAGAAGATGGATTTCCAGGTGGGAGGAGTTACATTCCAGGACAGCAAGAGACAACTCAGTCCAGGTATTACATATGAAAGAGGTTGAAGACAGCCCCACACTGATACCTCAGAGAGTATATTGTAGGTGCATATAGTAGTGTTCTGGCAAGATTTTGTCTATAGATGTGACGCAATAAAGAACTCAGCTATGAAGAATCACCATTCTTAGCTTTGGATTGGTCAATCAGTTTGATGTCTTTGGTTAACAAGTTTGGTCTACCTTGGAGGGCTGACACCTAATTGTTTGCGAAAATTGCCTCAAGTTTTAGGAGAATCAGGTGAACTTTTTTCATAGAGAGAATGAATTCCCTAAACAACCAGTGGTGCTTGTAAACAAATTAACAAGTTTATCTCTTTAATTAAGATGGGAATTGCTACAGAAGGAACATACAGAAAACCTTCAAGGACATGGGCATAACTTTTTTGATTTACAAAAATGGGAGGATTAATAGAAAAAGAGGAAAGGGTTTGGAGAAGATATGTCTCCTTCTCATACTGATCTGCATTAGTATTCACTTTGTTTCTCCAATAACACTTTCCTCCTGGTAGCTGAAGACTTTCTGAGTAGCATTTTCTATAATGTAAATTTAATTTTACATTCAATTTAATAATCTCTCAACTATTCTCTGTTTTCAAACTCTTCTTATTGATCACTACAACTTCAAAAGGGATCAAATTATTATTTTTTATTCCAATGTTCTGAAAGAAAGTTTGGACGCATCAGACCTTTTCCATTTTTTTAGAGATTTTGTTCCAGAAATAACCCATAATGGAATGGCAGAAATATTGAACAAGACAGCTATGGTAACTGAGTTCATTCTTGTAGGCTTCGCCCGCATCCGATGGCTGCAGATTCTCCTCTTTTGGGTCATCCTTCTCACTTACCTTTTGACCATCATGGGAAACCTTCTCATCATCTACATCACTCTGGTTGACCATCGCCTCCATACCCCTATGTACTTTTTCCTCAGGAACTTCTCTGTCTTGGAAATAGGATTTACTTCTTCTGCCATCCCTAAGGCTTTGTTTAACTTGGCCTCAGGCAACAACACCATTTCTCTTGCTGGCTGCTTTTCACAAGCCTTTTTCTATTTTATTTTGGGCACCGCTGAATTCTTTATTCTGTCCACAATGTCCTTTGACCGGTACGTAGCCAACTGCAACCCTCTTCGCTACACAGTCATTATGAACAGCCAATTGTGTACTCAGTTAGTGGTAGGATCTTGGATTATCAGTTTCCTTTATGTCATAACGCCCCTCATTCTATTATTTCGTTTGCCCTTCTGTGGTCCAAATATCATCAATCACTTCTTCTGTGACAATATGCCACTGATCAAACTTGCCTGCATCAACACCCAATTTCTGGAATTGATGGATTTTCTCATGGCCACCTTTACTGTGCTGGGGACTTTGGCTATCACAATAATTTCGTACATTAAAATCATTACTGCTGTGATGCACATTCCTTCCAGAACTGGAAGGCAAAAGGCTTTCTCCACTTGTGCTTCTCACATTGTGGTAGTTTTCATCACCTACGGGAGCTGCATTTTCATGTATGTCAAGCCCACACGAAGTGGTGGACTGGACCTCAGCAAGACGGTAGGTGTTCTGAACAATGTGGTTTCTCCTTTGCTCAACCCCTTCATTTACAGCCTGAGAAACAAGCAGGTGAAAACAGCTTTGAAGGATGCTTGTGGATGGAGATGAGCATCTTCTAGTCAGGGGAATGAGATATGTGAGAATGAATATAAGGGCATGTACAACATCAAACCGATGACAACGTGTAGATTCCATACTTCAGTCCTTCAGATGGGAAAGTTAATGAACTAAGAGAAAAGACAGAGAGACTCAGAGAAAGAAAAAAGGACTTTGAAGAATATTTGTTATCCTTTGTTATCCTTGTAGATACTGCTCAATTAATAAAGGGCCTAAAGACTGGGCTCTACCAGTTGGTCTGCGGTTCAAATGGTGGAGTTCCAGTCTGGAGATGGCTGTTGAATTGCTGGCAGACTACACACACACACACACACACACACACACACACACACACACACACACCTTGTTCTCTGCTCTGTATCTGTCCCTCTCTTTTTTTTGGTAATCATATAGCTGTATTTCTCATTATATTCTTTTTCATGGTTTATTTCATTGCTTTGTTACCTTATTCCTGTTTCTTTTCACATTTTTTTTTCATTTCTCCTTTTTACGGTTATAAACCCATCATGGTGAGATAGGGGGCAAATAATTTTAATAAATAAATAAACATTGTATGTACCAGATGAAAAGATTAATTATATGAAAAGGTTTACTCAGTCACATTCAGCTGGTGATGACTTTATTTTTTATACAAGTTTTTTTTTTATTATTCAGAATATTAAAATACAAACTTCAAAAAAAGAAGAATAAAATTACAGACAAAACAAAACTAGACAAGGCATTTTTGTTAAGTGCACTTTTTTTTTTTAAAAAAAAGACAAGAACACACACACACACACACACATATATTGTCTCCCTTAGTTGAATACTAATAGATGTATTACAGCAATAATAGTTCCCCCCTCACGGCAAAATAGACTCACCATTATAAACTTATAAAGTTTCTTTTTCACTTGAAAAACCTGAAAAACATTTTTGTAGCTTAGTGTGGTGAATGAATAAGACATGTGGTGCGTTTGTGATACAGCTTATTTTGGACACGGGCTGAAAAATGAGCTCATTGAATATCTATGTTTCTGAAGTAGAAATTAAGGGTTGATTCAGACGTGTGAAGACCCAGCTTCAGGTCCATTCTCAGCCATGGAAACCATTTGCAGACTTGGGCCAGCTCTCCTCATTTATTTCACCTCCTTCATCTTGCAAGGCTACCATTGAAATGAAGAGAGATCCCATGGAAACTACTGTATCTTAAATTCCTACCAAAATGGCAAGATCTAGATTTTACAAAATGAATTTGTAACATGGCCATTTTGATGATTGTGTTATGTTTTGGTTGATGTTCTCCAAAGTATCTATTAAGGGAAGAACAAAAGATCTTAATATTGTTTCAACTCCCCTCCCGTCTCCAGAATAAGCGAATGTATTCTCGAAGTTACATCTAAGAGTTCTCCATTCTGTTCAGTAATTTAAAAGCTATGCCTCCATTTATGTAGTAAGTAAATTAGTATGTCAAAGCTTCATACAAAATGAAAACTAAAATATCTGCAATGACCATTACAGAAGTAAATAAAATGCTGGATAGGGCAAAAAATGGTGTCAGCTACATGGATATCTGCACCACTGTCGAATGTGGTCTTGAGGGAAGGACATCATTGAGTTGTAAAGTTGATCTTAGCATAGGTACGCCCAAATACCACAGACCTGCTTCCCATTTCCTTTTCTTCACTCTCTTCCATTCTATCATTTGCTGTTCCTTATGACATAGAGACAATGTAAGATTGTCTCTATGTCAAGAGACATAGAGACTGGACAATCACCTGTTTGAGATGGTATAGATTCTGCTGCTTGAGTAGGGGGCTGGACCTCCAAAGTCCCTTCCAGCTCTATTCTATTCTATTCTATTCTATTCTATTCTATTCTATTCTATTCTATTCTATTCTATTCTATTCTATTCTATTCTATTCTATTCTATTCTCTAGTCTAGTCTAGTCTAGTCCAGTCCAGTCCAGTCCAGTCTAGTCTAGTCTAATATTCTGTTTATGGTCAAAGTCATAAGTGTGAAACAATCAGAATGCAATGATTTCTCAAAAATTAACCGTATTTTTTTAATGTTAAAGTGGTGAAATGCAGCAACAATAATAACAACAAAACTCATGTACATTTTCCAAAGGGGAACAAAAAGACATAATTGAAGTATGCTGTGCAAAAAAGTAAATTCAGATAAATTATACTGGCTTAAATAAATTAAAAGGGGAAAAGAACAATTCTTTAACAGAAGAATGATCCATACAATTCTAGCTAACTGCATCAACTTAATTTGGTCCTTAAGGTGCTCATTAAATTGTATAGTATAGTAACATATTTCATTATCTTCACATTTTTGGACATGGAAACTTATAAAAAAATAGGTAACAAATTCATATTCTTGGTTACAATGTGAATTCAGTGGTATGACTATGAAAACCATTTGATGACCAGAAAGAAAGGGCTGAAGGTGGACACTAATTTTTTTCAGGAGCTAGATCTCTGGTGCTCAGAGATGGAATAACAAGATGAGCCACATTGTGTTGTGCAAAGTTTTTTTTCTTTTTAACTTGAACAGGAAGAGTTTGGCAGAAGGTCACAAAAGGTGATCACATGACCCAGGACACTGCAATCATCATAAATATGTTACTTTTTCAAGTGCCATTGTAACTTGAAAGTTCACTAAATGAACTGTTGTAAATTGATTGATTCTCCTTTGTTGACACCCTGAATGGAGAGTGCTTAACTATGCTTCACTTGATTCTTAACAATTGTTATTCTGTGTTTGTGTTGAACTTCTTATACTATCTCCAGTGCCTGCTTGGACTAGAGCACGGGTCAGCAACCCACAACTCCAGAGCCACAGGTGGCTCCCAGCTTCCTCTGCTCTTTGCAGAGAAAGAGACAGAGACAGAGAAAGAGAGAGGCACTTACACTTCTCTCCCTCTCTCTCTCTCTCTCTCTCTCTCTCTCTCTCTCTCTCTCTCTCTCTCTCTCTCTCTCTCTCTCTCTCTCTCTCTCTGTGTGTGTGTGTGTGTGTGTGTGTAAAAGAGAGTGGTCTCACCATATTCTCCAATGAACTGACAAGCTTATTGGGTGGGGCTCCTGTCTTGTCTGCATCTCTGCAGGAAGCAGGAAGCAGGAACGGCAGAAGAGACCCAGCCCAATAACAATGTGTGTCAGCTTGTTGGAGAATAGCTTGAAGCCAGCTTGCCAGGTGAGTAGAAGATCAGAGAGAGGGAGAGAGGGTGGGGAGAGAGAAAGAAAGAAAGAGAGAGAGAGGGAGGGAGAGGGGGAGAGAGAGAGAGGGAGGGAAAGAGAGAGAGAAAGAAAAAGAGAGGGAGAGAGGGAAAGGGAGAGGAGAGAAAGAGGGAGAGAAAGAAAGAAAAGAGAGAGAGAAAGAGAGAAAGAGAGAGGGAAAGAAAGAGAAAGAGGGAGAGGAAAGATAGAAAGAGAGAGAAAGAGAGAGAGGGAGAGAAAGAGGGAGAGAAAGAGAAAGGGGGGGAGAGGGGGGAAGAGAGAAAGTGAGAGAGGGAGAGGAAAGAGAAAGAGAGAAAGAGAGAGAGGGGGAGAGAGAGAGGGAGAGGAAAGAGAGAGGGAGAGGGAGAAAGAGAGAGGGGGAGATGAAAGAGAGCTAGAGAAAGAGAGAGAGGAAAGAAAGAGAGAAAGAGAGAGAGGGAGAAGAAAGAAAGAGAGAGAAGGGGAGAGGTAAGAGAGAGAGGGGGAGAGGAAGGAGAGAGAGAGGGAGAGGAAAGAGAGAGAGAAAGAGAGAGAAGAAAGAGAGAAAAAGAGAGAGGGAGGGAGAGGAAAGAGAGAAAAAGAGAGAGTGAGGGAGGGAGAGGAAAGAGAGAGAGAGAGAGAGAGATAGAGAGAGAGAGAGAGAGAGAACTCATGCACAGCAGCCTCTATTTCTTTTTAATTAAACTCTTCAATCAAGCTCCCCCCCCCTCGTGCACGTGCATGTGACCGTGCAAGTTTTGCGGCTCCTAGTGTTTTCTTTTCTCTGGGAAATGGGTCCAAGTGGCTCTTTGAGTATTTAATGTTGCAGACCCCTGGACTAGAATATGCTATGATTTTTGAAAAATACACAAACGTAAAAATCTACATTGGACTATTGTAATGTTCTTTACATGGGATTCCCCCTTGAAGACTAACAATAAACTGACAAGTGTAAAATGTGGAATTTCATAAACATACTGAAACAAACTACTACTATCATGTCACATCAATATTTGGGGAACTGCACCGCTTGCTTGTTTATTTCCAGGTTTATTTCAAAGTTGTGGTGAGCAAATTCTGAATGTTTTGAAAGTATCTGAGATGCCTTCTTCAAAAGACAAGCTTCCCATGAAAGAAAATCCCAATTAAGGAAGTGGGCAGCTTCAGTGAGAATTTTTGGTGTTGTCATAGAGGTGTTGTAACTTTGAATCTGGGTTGTAAATAGTCATGAGGAAATCCATTGTAATTTTGGTCATTAAATAAGTGACTGTTCATAACTTATACTGTGGTATAAGTTTTGGGGAGCTTCAAAATGTTATTGGTTTGGTCATTGCAGGGATGTGCATAGTGTTGGCAAAGTTTCTTTTTCCCAACACAATTACCCTGAAGTTAACAAGGAAATATATAAGAATCTGAAACTTGTCCTGTTGCTACTTTAATTCTGATGTTCACTTTCAGTGTCTTTATTCACTTGCTCAGAATTTGAGTAGTTTGCCCTATGTAGAAATTGGAAGGGCATATAAAAAAAGACTAAAGTATTATACAAGTAGTCCTTGACTTACAACTGAACACAAAATTTCTATTGCTAAGCAAGACAGTTGTTAAGCGAGTTGCACCTTATTTTACGACATTTTGGGCACAGTTATTAATTGAATCATACGGTCGTTAAGTGAATCTGGCTTTCCCCATTGGTTTTGTGGTCAGAAAGCAGCTGGGAAGGTTACCAATGGTGCACACATGAGCCTGGGACAGTGAAATTGTCCGAAATACACCCCAATTGCCAAGTGCCCAAATTTTAATCATGTGACCATGGGGATCCTGTAACGGTTGTAAATGTGAAAACTGGTCATAGTTTACTTTTTTTCAGTGCCATTGTAACCTCAAAGAGAGGTTAATCAAATAGTTGTAAGTTGAGGACTATCTTAATACATTAGAAAAATATTAGCTTATTAGCATCTGACCTTGCTTCTCCCCTCTTTCTTCCTTCAATTCTTTGTATTTAACGTCCTGTAAGTGTGAATTCGACTCTACCTGTCACGATGGAATGGAATGAGAATAGAATAGAATAGTATAGAATAGAATAGAATAGAATATTCAGAATTAATATTCTGAATTAAACTGAATTAAGTCCCCTAGTTCTTACATTATGGAGTTTCTTTGCTATTATGTTCATTGGAAATAATATAAGAGACAATCAGATTAGTCATGCCACATGGGGGTTCTGTAATGAGCAGCCAATATCAACATATACTGTAGTAGACATTTATTTGTGTATATAGAGCTTGCCCAAAAAGGTATCCAAGAGAAAAAAAAAATCTTTACATCTCTGGTTTTCCTGCTCTGACACATTTATGAAGTAACTACTGTACATAATTTTCAAGGTATATTTTAGGAGGGTGACCTGATTCAAAAATCATTAGTGGCATGTATCTTGGGCCATTGATCTACCAAAATGTGTTTGGGGTTAGATAAAGGGCATATTTAGTACAAACAAGGAATGGGGTATGTCTAGGTTAATAAAAAGAAGGACTAGGGGGTGACATGATAGCAGCCTTCCAATATCTCAGAGGTTGCCACAAAGAAGAGAGGGTCAACCTTTTTTTCCAAAGCACCAGATGACAGGACAAGAAGCAACGGATGGAAACTAATCAAGGAGCGAAGCAATCTAGAACCAAAGAGGAATTTCCTGACAGCTAGAACAATTAATCAGTGGAATAACTTGCCTCTAGAAGTTGTGTACGCTCCAGCTTATCTTAGCTGTCTTCACCAGGTCTTTTTTTACATATAAAAAAGTATTTTATTAATTTTTTAATTGTTACAATTCAGTAGTGGTTGATGAACAATGTATTGTCTGGGATATATATATATATATATATATATATATATATATATATATATATATATATATATATATATTTGCCTAGTAATAGAAGTTAAATTCTTACTCTCTGTCTCGTGGTAAAATAAGGATCTCTTAGCAGTCTTAACAGAGGATTTGTCTGCAGTTGTTTAAAAAAATTAACCAGCTTATCTTAGCTTCCTTCACCAGGTCTTGAATGATGCTAAGGAAAGATGAATTTCTATGAGAATTTCTATGAGAGAGAATTTCTGTCTTTGTATCACCACTTCCCCAGATTCACCACTCAGTCTTTGCTTCTGAATTACAGCACAATCTAACATTTAATAGAAATTTTCAAAGATGCTTCAGTTGGGATTTGGTTAAGGGAAATATATGGACACATGGATCCTGAGGTGCCTAGCATGTTTTTCAGACTAGGATCATCTTCTGTTTTAGAGTTTCAAGACTGATGAACCATATCATTTGAATGTATATTACATATTCCAAAAGATTTGTTCACTTAAAGGGCCAATGAATTAAATTGATTTAAAAGCACAATGTAATGTAGAACAAAAAGGTTGCATTCTTCTTTTTAACCTATAGAGCTTTTTAAATATATATATACAATATTTTTTTAAAAAAGTTATTTAGAACTGGAGGAGAAATAATTTTGATTCACATTTTGGGGTGAATTTACTTATAATTAGACTCACCCACTGTAAAACATCCACAACATTTATTGTCCTTCAGTATTTGCATTTTTTTTTAAAAAAAAAAATTGTACTTCAAGGTTTAGAAAAATGAACACTTAAAAGTTATATGACAATTAGAAAAAAAAGCAGATTCCCACAATAACAGAACAGGATAACAGAAATAACAGAAAATAATTTCATATTTTCATAAAATTCAATGTGAAATAAATCATTTCCTGTTTTCCTAAAATTCAGCAAAGCCCCATTTCCGTAAGATGTACTCATCAATTCATCAAATGTTTTGAAAAGAACTGACATCCTTTCCGTGTAAATATTTCTTCAGGAGAAAATCACCCTCCTGAAAGAGAGAACTGGGCATCTTCAGAAGACAAAAGGAACTTGAAGGAATTGGGTCATAATGAAATTCTGGTTACTGGAGAGGTTTCAAGGCAAGGTAACTCAGCTGAATATTGAAATTACATGAAAGTATCTTCTATCAATTCCTGATCAGGGTTCCATAGTAACCATGAAAGGCAATGAAACGAGAATCAGTGAGTTCATACTTCTGGGCTTCACAGACATTCGAAAACTGCAGCTCCTATTCTTCGTCATCCTTCTCTTTTCCTACTTCCTCACTATTACTGGAAATGCTCTGATCATCATCCTGGCTAATAGAGACTACAGGCTACACAGCCCAATGTATTTCTTCCTCTGGAATTTTTCTGTTTTGGAGATTGGATTTACCACTGCTGTAACTCCCCAAACCTTGTCCCATCTTTTGATGGCCCATAAAATTGTTCCCTATGTTGGTTGCATGATACAGCTTTTCATGTATTTACATCTGGGCACCACTGAGTTCTTCCTCTTAGCAGTCATGTCCTATGATAGATACCTGGCCATCTGTAACCCTTTACGCTACCCATCCATCATGCAGAAGAGTTTATGCACTTTGCTGGTTCTCTGTTGCTGGATTGGAAGCTTCCTCCTCATCATTGGTCCCTTTGTGATCTTCCTACAGCTTCCAATGTGCAACTCAAACATCCTGGACCATTTCTTCTGCGACAACACACCATTGATCCAACTCCTTTGTGGGGACACTAGACTTCTGGAACTGTTTGGGTTTGTCACTGCTGTGCTTTCCTTGCTGGGGACTTTAACCATTTCAGTAGTTTCCTATGTCAACATAATAAAAACTATCTTGAACATCCCATCTGCTACAGGGAGAAAGAAGGCGTTTTCCACCTGTGCCTCTCACTTCATTGTTGTGTCCATCACCTACGGGAGCTGCATCTTCCTTTATATCAACCCATCCCAGACAAGCAAAGTGGAGTTTGGCAAAATAGTGGCCATTCTCAACACCATTGTTTCCCCTTTGCTCAATCCTTTCATTTACAGCTTGAGAAACCGACAAGTTCAGGAAGCCTTGAAAGATCTATTGAGAAAGCTAGCAGTCTTTATTAAAGGTCCAAGGAAAACCTGAGAACATCGTTCTTTGTGGACTTGGTGTATCTGATATCTGGTTTGTGGGGCTGACCAATATGCCTTTATTTGATAGTTTGAAGTAGCATTTCCGTTCATCAAAGCCTTATGGTTGAACCTTTGTGGAATATCCATTGAAGTTCTCCAGCACTGAAGGGTCTGATAAATGTGGTCTTCATGTTAGGTTACATATAACTGTCATGGGGTTTCTTTATCTGTTTCTTTTCCCCTAAATCTTAAGAGTAGATAGATATTTTTCAAAAGTGGAAGTTGAGGAAAGAGGATTTCCTTGGAACACCTCAATGTTTCAGACCATAAAATCACAGGATTAGAAGGGACTTTGGATGTTTTCTTGTCCAGCCCTCTGCTCAAGGGAAGAGATCTTATAGCATTCAGGTCAAATGGTTGTCCAGTCTATTTTGAAAACCTTCGCTGATGGATCACCCACAACTGAGAGAGGCAAGTTAATTGTTTTCACCATTAGAAAACCTCACCTTACTTCTAGGTTGGATCTTTCTTTAACAAGCTTCCTCCATTCTTTGGTCCATCATGTTGGTTCTATCTAAAATGTCTTCCCCACAGAGGTCCCATGCAGCTGTCAGAGAATTAATGCAACATGACATTTAATCTCCCCACTATTACATACACACAGATACACCTTCCTGAAGATCTTTGGTTTGGGTGTTGAAGGTTGGGACTGGCAACCATTCCAAACCACTGTTGAATTGAGCCTTGCATCCTAAGGATGAGTGTGCAAAGAGGAATTGGTGAGTATATGAAATCAAGACTCGAATGGACAAGGCCATGTTTGTGTTGGAAACAGGTGAATGTCAAGCTCTGAAGAACTCTTACGCTGTTTCATCCATTACTGCTTCTCAGACTCAGGGGGAGGAGAGGGGTGAATGAAATGCAGACGTCAGATATTGGTTTTCCTTTCATGTGTGCCAAAATGATGTACTCAATAAAGCTTTACATTGGAGATTGGATCATCTTAGCTGTGTTTACTTCATTGGGTTTGTCAGTCGGAACCTTTACAGTGAAATGAATTAGTAGTGAAGAGAAAATGGTTGGACAAATCAGAATCCCTCAATATCCATTCTGAAGAAGGTTAACATTACTGAATTCTGGGGAGATGGGTTCTCACCCAGGAATTCATCAGTGGATGTTCTCTGTTCAAGAAATCACATGTTTGCCTCTGTGTTTGACTTCATACACAAACACAAAAATATCTATGTAGTAAAACTTCAGTTTAATGACTCATGTGGGGAGGAGGAGATTTGTCCATTGCATCTGGTTCTCCATTAAATCCAGATCTATGAAACTGATCTAATTTACTGCTCCAATTATGTGCATTAATGCAAACAGCATAAATAAACAGCTGATATACCTTATTTTTGTAGCTATATGTATATATGCACAAGGACACACATATACAGACCATAAAATATTCATTTTATGTACCTGTATTAAACTGATTTGGGATAGAATGGGTAAAACAGGAGTCCAATCTTCAATCCCACAAATGTGGCATATGTAGAGGGGTTTAGGTGGGGGTGGGTGCCTATTACTATCATTCCTATACAGGATAGATGATAAATAGATCAAATGATAGATAGATAGATAGATAGATAGATAGATAGATAGATAGATAGATAGGAGAGAGAGGGAGGGAGAGAGAGGGAGAGAGAGGGAGAGAGAGAAAGAGAGAGAGAGGGAGAGAGAAGACAGGAAAGCAGGCAGGCAAATGTGGATAAATAGATAATTAATTAAACAATCAGAAACTTTGATGACAGTTTTTGATTTAATTTATCCTTCTATTTGGCTTTCATATTACCCAGATTTTTCATATACTTTGGTGATGAGATTTTTCTCCACTGGATGCTGGAGAATGGAAGGATTTATATTTTTTACAGTCATCTGGTCATTAGTACTCTTTCTGAGAGTCCTTCTCTTGGACGTGCTAACAACCAGATGTCTGCAAAGAATATAAATCCTCTCATTCTCCACCATTCAGTCAGAACTGAAGAAGCTTCTTGGATGAGAAGCAAAACATCTTCAGGTAAAACAAAGAAAGTCCAGTTGCTTTTTGAAAAAGCACCTTTGGGAAAACCATGACCTGGATAACTGAGAATCTCTATAGAGGTGTCTTGGATTAAGTGAAAGGGGTCTTTAGTAGAACTAAGGCAGAGCCTACATTGTTTGATTTCCGCTATTCCCCAATTTTGAAATTGTTAAATGAAGAAGGATTACCACTCAAGAAAGGACATCAGGATTTGCTCAACATCTACAGCAAGAAGTTCTCAAAAGTTTCTACCTGGATTCTATAGCCTTGAGATGATTATAGTAATGGAGAAGTAACTTTAGACACCAGCATATTTGCTAAACAGAATCCATTAGGGACATCAGTGTAACATCCCTCAGCTGCTTAAAGCAAATGCATTTTCCCAGCTTCCCTTGAACGTCTTCTGCATTTATTGAAGAAAGCATTTCTTTGATGGAATCACACCTGTTACCTGCATATCACAACATGCTCATATTCACCTTTTCAATTTGCGCAAATGAACTGCAGTACACTCTAGATTTAACAATTGTTTTTTAAAGAGACTTCAACTGATATTTGGTGAAGAAAAATACATGGACACATGAATGCTGAGGAATCTGGCTTGTTCATTCCATACTAAGATCTTCTTCCCCTATTTTAGTACTCCAAGACTGAAGAAATATAAAGTGTGAGTATATTCTATATTTGTGCAAAAAAAGCAAAGCTTTCTAAGCTTAGAAGCCCAATGAATTATGTGAACTTTTTTAGAAATAGGAATAGGAATATTCTTTACTGGCCAAATGTTTGACTGGACACACAAGGAATTTGTCTCTGGCACATAAGCTCTCGGTGTACATACAAACAACAAAGTGGTAAGTCATAGATTATAAATCATAAGATATAAATCATAAGATACAAATAACAAGTGATAAATCATAAGATACCAATAGGAGAAGGTAGTAGGAAAGATGAGAAGATGAGAAAAATGAGAAGGATAATAGCAATATAGCCCTACCACATGAGTAATAAAATTACTGCTACATGGGTATTAGTTAAAACAGATGTGTAATCTAGAATGAAAAGTGCTAGATTCTTCTTTAAGTATATATATAGTCTTTTATAAGATTTTATTATAATATTTGAAATGTAACCCTGTCCTTTCAATGGTGCAAGATACAAATCACATTTTGAAGGTGATTTGGGAAATCATTTCATTATTTGCATTTCTTTTCTAGCTTTTTGTAAAGCTGTTAGGTGTCTCTGTGTTTTCCAAAGACATCAAGTTGTTTACTTTCACTTTTTTCTATACCATGTTTAGATTATTAATCCCCCAGAAAGGGAAAAAAATTGTTGTAGGAATCATTTTCAGAACACAATTAATTCAAAGAATCACATTTCGGCAAGGTTATTGGTTGGACAATATTGGAAGAAAGATTCTTTGCCTACTGTAGAAGAATGGTTGCTTAAAGTTTCTAATTTAGCAGAAATGGCTAAAATTTCTGCTTATTTGAAGGATCACTCACAAGAAAGATACATCTCGGTGTGGAGAAGATGGATAAATTTTGTACAGAATGAATATGGGGTTAGAAAGTATTATTTAGTTTTTGAATAACTTAAAGTTTAAAATGGGAATCATTTATATTGTTAATTATGCTTTTGCTTGAAATTTTTCTTTTGTATTTGAGTTAAAGTATTTTAGGTTTTATTTTTGTATAGTTGGATAAATTTCGTTAGAATTTGTTTGTTTATCTCTTTTTTAACCCTGTAATCAGCTCTGGGAAGTAAGGGGGGAGGGTAAGGGAGGGGGGAGGTAGGCGGGATATTATATTGTATTGTATTAAAAATTTGTATAAAACTTTTCAATAAAAAAAAGAATCATATTCAATTACTATACTTAGAGTAGCATTTTCAAGGTAGGCGTGCAATTATTCAGTTGAATATTAATATTAAGTGAACTAATTGTCGTCTTCTATTAAATTCCTGATCAGAGTTCTATAGTAACCATGAAAAGCAATGAATCAAGAATCACCGAGTTCATACTTCTTGGTTTCACAGACATTCGGAAACTGCAGCTCCTGTTCTTTGTCATCCTTCTCTTTTCCTACTTATTGACCATCACAGGAAATTCGGTGATTATTATCCTGACTAACCTGGACCATCGTCTACACACCCCGATGTATTTTTTCCTTTGGAATTTCTCTATTATGGAAATCGGTTTCACCACTGTCATCACCCCTCCAACCTTGTCACATTTGCTGATGGGTCATAAAAATGTTCCCTATGTTGGTTGCATGATACAGTCTTTCATGTATTTCCATCTGGGCACCACTGAGTTCTTCCTCTTAGCGGTCATGTCCTATGATAGATACCTGGCCATCTGTAACCCCTTACGCTACCCATCCATCATGCAGAAGAGTTTATGCAGTTTGCTGGTTTTCTGTTGCTGGATTGGAAGCTTCCTCCTCATCATTGGTCCCTCTGTGATCTTCCTACAGCTTCCAATGTGCAATTCAAACATCCTGGACCATTTCTTCTGTGACAACACACCATTGATCCAACTCCTTTGTGGGGACACTAGACTTCTTGAACTGTTTGGGTTTGTCACTGCTGCGCTTTCATTGCTGGGGACTTTAACCATTTCAGTAGTTTCCTATGTCAACATAATAAAAACTATCTTGAACATCCCATCTGCTACAGGGAGAAAGAAGGCATTTTCCACCTGTGCCTCTCACTTCATTGTTGTGTCCATCACCTACGGGAGCTGCATCTTCCTTTATATCAGCCCATCCCAGGCAAGCAAAGTGGAGTTTGGCAAAATAGTGGCCATTCTCAACACCATTGTTTCCCCTTTGCTCAATCCTTTCATCTACAGCTTGAGAAACCTACAAGTTCAGGAAGCCTTGAAAGATCTGTTGAGACAGGTAGCAGTCTTTATTAAAAGTCCAAGGAAAACCTGAGAATATCGTTCTTTGTGGTCTGATAAATGTGCTCTTTGTGTTAGGTTACATATAAGTGTCATGGGGTTCCTTTAGGTCATAGGAAAACCTGTCAGATGCTCTCAGAAGGACCTGATATACTGCCACCAGCAGAAATATGAGTAAGTTGTCAAACATTTCAATTTTGATCATATGAACATGATGATGCTGCAACATTTGTAAATGTGAAGAAGAATCATAAGTCATCTTTTTCAATGCCATTGTAACTTCGAAAGGTCACTTTTAAGTCAAGCACTACCAGTCGTATTGGAGACAATATGGCTGATTAGCTGGATGGATACTTAACAGAATCTCTCAACAACCATACTGAAGAAAGGATATATTCCTGAAATATATGAAAGTGGTTTAGAAAGGCTATTTGTCCCTCTTTAAGTCACTTATTTTAGCATCACTGCACCAAAAGGTCACTAAACAAATGATTGTAAGTCAAGGACTACCTTTAAATAACTGTGAATATAGCTGGTGGGATATCAGCTAACCTGGTTAAGCAGATAGGAATCCAGTCATTGTGTATAAGTCTTTCCATTTAGCTAGACTGGTTTCCATGGAACCATTTTATGGATAGAATGTGCCCCTTTATATAAAGTGGATTTTTGAAGTTAGATCTCTCCAGCATGAATTCAGTCCGCTATTACAGATTTCCCCAATGTTTCTGGCTTTGTGGACTGGTGGGGAGAGGGGCTGGTTCCACATGAGTGGCTGGCAAGTGCGCATGCATGCATGCATGGAGCTCTGTTGGCATGATCGGCATACATGCACACTTGCCGCTCATGCACCTGAAGTGTGTGTGCATTCTCTCACCCACTGCTTGCGCAAGTGAGGATGTGCACTTGTGCTCACTGGCCATTTTTTTTATTGAAAATTTTTAAGATTTTACAATAACAAAAACAAAACAATTTTCCCCAACCCTCCCCAACCCTCCCTCAACCTCCTCCGACTATCCCAGAGCTGGATATAGGCTTAATTAAAATTTCTTCAAAAAATCTTAAGAAAAATATAAAATATAAGTAAATCTAGATACATTACTTTAACGAATTACAAAATGATTAACAATAATATATATGTAAAAAAAACATAAATACCAGAAAAAAGAAAAGAAAAAAAAATACATAAAAAACATAAAAAAGAGATTAACTTTTCAATATAGGTTATAAAACTGTAAACAAATCTAAATACATTACTTAAACAAATTATAAAATAATTAAGAGTAAAATATATATAAAGAAAGATAAGTACAAAAAAAGAAAAGAAATAGAAAAAAAGAAAGAAAAAAATTGGCTTTTCAAAAAGATTAGCTTTTCAATATAAGTTATTACTCACTGGCCATTTTTGTGGCCAGGTTGCAATCACTTCACGGACCACTAGTGGGCTATGGCCCACAGGTTGGGGACCCCTGCTCTATTATACTATACTGTATCTTGGTTTTGTATCATTGTTTGGGTATAAAATATTCTGGAAATAAAGAGAATGTGGTTGAATGAACAATGCTTAGTCACATCATATGGGGATTCAGACAACCTCTAATGAGTACCTAATATCAACCAATAGTATAAATTATTTGGTATAGATAGATACTAAGTAAATAAGGAGTCCCTGAGGATTTTACTCTGCTAGTCATTGCTGACAAAAGGGGGCGGTACTCATCTTCATTTCAAGACTATTGAGCTAGTGTCGTCCAAAGACATTTCCACAATTATGTGGCCAGCATGATGTCATGAAGCACGGTTACCTTCCCACCAAAGTGGTACCTATTTATTTATTCGCATTTGCATGTTTTTGAATAGCTAGCTTGGCAGGAGCTGGGATGAGGATGGGAGCTTACCCCATTGTATGGTGTTTGGGTATCGAACTTGGGCTGTCTGGCTTTCCAATCAACAAGCCCAGCATCTTAACCATTCAGCCACTGTATCACCCTTATAGATAGAAGTTGCCCCAAGGGCTAATCTAAATAAGCATAACTATATCTCTGAAATTGTTTGCTCTGTAATGACACGTATACCTATCACACCAAAGTAAATGACTTTTAAGGTAAGCTTTGGAAGGTCAAAATTATCCGAAGTTCATTAGTGGTCCATCAAAATATATATTTTTTTTTGATTTAGGTGAAAGGCATTTTTAGTAAAAATAGGTCAATATTGTCTGAGATCAGGAAGAGCTATTCCCCAATCTTGAACTTGTTAAATGAAGAGGAAGGATTTACAGTCAAGAAGGGATAGGTGGATTTTCTTAATATCTATGAGAAAATGTTCTCAAAAGCTTTTTTCTGGAGTCTACATCCTTTAACTGTTTGTGGTGGTGGAGAAGTAACTTGAAGAACTTTCAATTTTTCTGTAGCTAAGAACTTCAAACAAAATCCCTTAGGGACATCAGTATGGTATCTCTCAGCTGCTTAAAGCAAATTATCTTTTCGAAGCTTCTCCTGGCTGTTTTTTGTAGGTCCTACAGAAAGAAGCATTTCTTTGAAAGAGCTTCTATCTTCATATCACCACATGCTTACCATTTAGTCTTTGGACCTGAATCACAGCACAACCTAACATTTAATAGCAAAAGAGCCTTCAACTGAGGTTTAGTCAACACATGGACACATGGATTCTCAGGTGCCTAGCTTATTCATTCCATACCAAGTTCATTCTTTTTTTTTAGTATTATTATTAATTCTTATAAGGACAAAGATTTGTTGCTTTTAGGGAGTTAATAAATTGAACTTTTTAAAAAGAAAAAACAAATTTGTAATCTACTATTATTTATTTGATTTTTGTTTATCCCATCTTTATAAGTAACTCAAAGCAAAGGGTTAGAGTCTTCTTATGTATACAGTATTTTCTAAAATATTTGAAATGTATCCATCTCCTTTCAGTGGCTATAAGATTCCAATTTCCTTTTGAAGGTTTTGGAAGCTGAGGGAGAAATCACTCTGATTCACATTTTCTTGGTGGATTTATTTAATTTAACATAATGGGAAATATGTAGCAGAAAGAGTAGCAAAACTTGGGTGTGGAGTTAAAAGAAGGATCAGCCTAGAATCCCTACATAGCCACAAGTGAGCTAACTCCAATCCTCCTTGATTTTGTTGACCCTTATCTAACTCTAAGCAGGTTCTGACCATCAGTTGAGAAGATTTCTGTGCATAGGCTTTTTAACAATAAATCAGTTTACAAGGACCTTCATGTATTTTACTCCTGACAAAATTATATTTCAGCCTTTGTGTTCCTTTACAAAACCCTTTTCTGGATTTTGTAAAGCTGTGTTTTACAGCTTAGCAGGGACACTTAAAACTCTACAGCAATTTGGGGAAATTGCTACAGTTTAGTTAAGTGTAATAGGAAGCCTTGCATGCCTTCCAATAATTAAGCAAATGATTAACAAATGGACTCAAAACCCTGATTTGAAAATTGCATTATAGGAGGAAGAATGAAAGGATTTTATGGAGCAGACAGACATTTAACTGTATTTTTATAGTATAGTACAGCCAATAACAAATGATAATCTGATTTTTTTTCCTGCCCATTTATTTTATTGTCATCATAATCCAATATTTCAGATGTAGATCTGACTTGGAGGTCTGATCTGTCAATCTTCCATATGCAAGAAGATAATTTATTGAAACACTTGGCTAAGTACTGCTATATTTTATTTTATTTTATTTTTAATGTCACATTTATATCTGTAAAAGGACAAGGAAAAAATGTTGGGGGACTTAATTTAGAAAAAGGACACACGTGAGTATATAAGTATATACAAATGTAGAACTGAGAAAGATTCCCCCCCAAAACCTTCACAACACTAAAAAGCAGCCACAGAATGAGGAAAGAAAAAAAAACACAAAACTGAATTAATGTTCATCATTTTTTCTGAAGAAACATGTTAGGCTGAAGAGGGATTGCATGGTCATCTGAATTCAAAAACGAGAATAAATAACTACACTATAGTTGGGCAGAAGACAGTCAATTAACAGGGAATAAACCCAAGGTTATGATAATCTTCCTGTACAGGATCAGTGTTAGAAGAATAAATTTGGGCTAATCTAAGCTGGAATTACATAAGAATGAGACTGGACATGCTGTTTGAAAAGGAAGATGCTTATTCGAGAACATAAAAGACATCATTCAGAGGTAGGCTACAGTTTCAAATCTTGAGGTTGGGGGTGTTTATAGGGAAAATAGTCTTTGTGTTTTGAAGTGTTTATCTTTGGCAAATTCCTTCAGCCTGTCAACTTTGGGGAGTCCTCCTTGTGTGCGTTCCTAAAAGCTATATATATTAAAGGATTTATCTTGTTAGCTATTCTTTGAAATGAATACAATTTCAGCCTGACAATGGACTATCATATTGAAAGATAAGCAATCTTTGCTGGATTGTGTTTATCTCTGTCCTTTCAGCTATTGACAGATGATATTGTTGATTTAAGGAGTTCACGGGGAGTGCATGAATAAATTGATTTCTAAATTGATTTTCTTCCCACCTTAGCTTTCCAAATATCCTGAATCAATTGTTATACCAGTGATGAATAGAACAGAATAGAATAAAGAATAGAATAGAATAGAATAGAATAGAATAGAATAGAAGAGAAGAGAAGAGAAGAGTTGGAAGGGACCTTGGAGGTCATCTAGTCCAACCCCCTATTCAGGCAGGAAATCCTATACCATTTCAGACAAATGGCTGTCCAGTCTCTTCTTAAAAACTTCCAGTGTTGGAGCATTCACAACTTCTGGAGGCAGGTTATCCCACTGATTAATTGTTCTCACTGTCAGGGAATGTCTCCTTAGTTCTAGGTTGCTTCTCTCCTTGATTAGTTTCCATCCGTTGCTTCTTGTCCTGCCTTCTAGTGCTTTGGAAAATAGCTTGACTCCCTCTTCTTTGTGGCAACTCCTTAGATAGTGAAACAGTGCTATTATGTCACCCCTAGTCCTTCTTTTCATTAAACTAGATATACCCAATTCCAGCAACCGTTCCTTATATGTTTTTCCCTCCAGTCCCCTGATCATCTTTGTTGCTCTTCTCTGTACTCTTTCTAGAGTCTCAAGACCTTTTTTACATCGTGGTGACCAAAACTGGATGTGGTATTCCAAGTGTGGCTTTACCCAGGCATTGTAAAGTGGTATCAACACTTCACGTGATCGTATTAACACTTCATTTGATCTTGCCTAGTTTCAGATTCTTAACCAATGAAAGCTCACCTAATTCACCAAGGGTTTATGTCCACAGATTGCTCACAACTAAGATAAGATGGTGAACCAAACCAAGACTGAGGAGATCTTATTGCTAGGATTTACTGAAAGTCACCAGCCTGAGATGCTTTTATTTACCCTTATCTTGGTCATGTACCTGATGGCCATAGCTGGAAACATTCTGATTGTTATTATCACCCTTGTGGATGTCCACCTCAGGACCCCAATGTATTATTTCCTCAGGAATTATGCCATCTTGGAAATTGGATACACTTCAGCTGTCATTCCCAAAGCTTTGAGCAATTTGGCGTTGGGGAAGAAAACCATCTCTTATGTGGGATGTATAAGCCAATTGTTTTTTTATTTCTTTTTGGGCACTACCGATTTTTTCCTTCTGACGGTTATGTCTTTTGACCGTTATGTGGCCATCTGCAATCCTTTAAGATATACCACCATCATGAACCAATGTATCTGCACTTGGATGGTGCTGATTTCTTGGGTTGCAGGATTCATCTTGATTTTTAGTCAAACCGTATCTTTTGCACAATTCCCCATCTGTGGCTCAAACATCATTGACCATTTTTTTTGTGACAGTAAACCATTGCTGAAGCTTCTCTGTGGGGACACACATCTCCTGGAGCTGGTTGGCTTCATCCTTTCTGTTTTTTCACTTCTAGGGACTTTAGCCATCACTACAATATCCTACACGGTCATAATTTCCACCATCCTTCACATTCCAACTGCTGCAGGAAGGAAGAAGGCCTTCTCCACCTGTGCCTCCCACATCATTGTGGTCTCTATTACGTATGGTAGTTGCATCTCTATGTACCTCATACCCATGGAAAGTGAAGGGAAAAATTTCAACAATGCGGTGGCCATCCTCAACAATGTGGTTTGTCCCCTCATGACCCCATTTGTCTACACTCTGAGGAACAAGCAGGTCAAAGATGCTTTGAAAGACACCTTGGGCTGCAAGAGGATAACTAGCAAAATATGAGGAACATCAACATCCTTGAAAGAGGAAAGGAAAAAAAAGAGAATAAATGTGAACAGAGTAAAAATAGATCAGTGATCTCTGTTCAACCTGTGATTTACTAATTGATTGATTGATTGATCAGACGCCTATGTAATTATTTTGGAGTGGTAGTTGAGGGGTGATGAAATATTTTATATTGGAAGTTTTGGTACTGGTTCATTGCAAAAAGTTTCTTAATGCATGCTTACAATAAAATAGACTCATCTAGTGGTGTTTCCTGTCTGGTCTACCTCACAAGGTTGAAATCCATCTTGCAAATCTGAAATCACACCAGTTCGCTCCCCCTATCCCCAACTTTCCCTTTACAGGTTAAGAAATTAGGAGAGTCTCTTCTGAGCCTCTTGGTCCACCCACATACCTGCTGGGATGAATTTTACCTGATTGTTCTGTTGACCATCTCCCATGGTGTTTCCCATTTACTATTACACTATTTTCCAAGGCACTTGAAGGTAGGACAAGAAGCAACGGATGGAAAGAGAGAAGCAACTTAGAACTAAGGAGAAACTTCCTGACAGTGAGAACAATTAACCAGTGGAACAGCCTGCCTCCAAAAGCAGTGAATACTCCAACACTGGAAGTTTTTAAGAAGAGATTGGACAGCCATTTGTCCAAAATGATGTAGGGTTTCCTGCCTGAGCAGGGGGTTGGACTAGATGACCTCCAAGGTCCCTTCCAACATCATCATCATCATCATCATCATTATTATTATTATTATTATTATTATTATTATTATTATTATTATTATTATTATTATGGATCATCTCACAGTCAGCCAGATGTTCAGACTGGATTTGGCATTTTGTCTACCTATCAAGTTGTTGTTGTTGTTGTTGTTATTATTATTATTATTTAGATAAACTTGAAAGGGGAAGACATAATTAGAATTAATATTATTTTCCTAAAAGAAGCATTCAACACATAAATATCTATGGAGGTTCTCAGTTATCCAGGTTACAGTTGTCCCAAAGGTGCTTTTTCTGGGAAGCAACTGGACTTTTTTTTCCTTTGAAGACGTTTTGCTTCTTATCCAAGAGGCTTCTTCAGCAGAAGAAGCTTCTTGCATGGGAAGCGAAACGTCTTCAAAGAAAAACAGAAAGTCTTGTTGACTCCTGGAAAAAGCACCTGTGGGACTACATGAATAGTTTTAGAATAACCAGTAGGGGGCGGCAAAGACCAGGCTGAACAAGAGTCTACCCAAATATGTCAGAAAACATATTTAAAAATAGACATTTTTCTAGCACATGTAGTGACTAAGGTGATGGTGAAGCAGTTTATTCAACAGAGAAGCAGGCCATTGCCTTCTCATATGGCTTCCTTTTGCCTTGCAGACTTTGGAGGTCCACATGAAAAAAAGAGAGCAAAAAGGATCACTTGTATGGAGGTTGCAGGTGGGAAGAGAAGGGTGAAACGGCCTCATCTCAGACGCTGCAGTCCCAGTGCAAACGTGTCCACATGCAAGCTAATCCAATCCCACCCCTGGATTGATTGTGCACTGTGTTACTGTGTGCTAATGTAATATGCACAGGTGGCCCTCGACACCGTTTCAAGATACAATGGCACCAGAACGAGATGAGATGAGATGGGATAGGTGAGATGAGATGAGATGAGATAAGATGGGGTAAGGTAGGATAAGGTAAGGTAAGGTGAGCTGAGCTGAGCTGGGCTGGGCTGGGCTGGGCTGGGCTGGGCTGGGATAAGATGGGATGGGATGGGATGGGACGGGACGGGACGGGACGGGACGGGATGGGACGGGATGGGATGGGACAGGACAGGACAGGACAGGATAGGATAGAACAGAGCTGGAAAGGACCAGACCTCTGCTCAAGCAGGAGAAGATGAGATGAGATGAGATGAGATGAGATGATGAGATGAGATAAGATGAGATGGGATGGGATGGGATGGGATGGGATGGGATAAGATAGAACAGTGCTGGAAAGGACCTTGGAGGTCTTCTAGTCCAGCCCCCTGCTCAAGCAGGAGAAGATAGATGAGATGAGATAGGATAGGATAGGATAGGATAGGATAGGATAGGACAAGACAGGACAGGACAGGACAGGACAGGACAGGACAGGGCAGGGCAGGACAGGACAGGACAGGACAGGACAGGACAGGATAGGATAGGATAGGATAGAGCTGGAAAGGACCTTGGAGGTCTTCTAGATAAGATAAGTTAAGATGAGATGAGATGAGATAATATTTATTGCCATTTTTTTTACTATGAGCACACTGGGCTACATTAAAAATGTAATTCTGTTGCCTGCTCTCAAAATAAAGTATATATCTATCTATAACATACAAGCTGTTTCACTGGTTAATTGTCCTCACTGTTAGAAAGTTTCTCCTTAATTCCAGGTTGCTTCTCTCTTTGGTCAGTTTCCAACCATTGTTTCTTCTCCTGCCCTCTGGTGCTTTGGAAAATAATGTGATCCCCCCCTCTTCTTTGTGGCAGCCCCTCAAATACTGGAATACTGCTATCATGTCCCCCCTAGTCCTTCTTTTCTCTAGACTAGCCAAACCCAAATTCTGCAACCGTTCTTCATATGTTTTTGTCTCCAGGCCTTTAATCATATTAGTTCTTCCCCTTTGCACTTTTTCCAAAGTCTCAACATCTGTTTGGTAATGTGGTGATCAAAACTGTATGCAGTATTCCAGGTGTAGCCTTACTAAGGATTTATAAATCAATACTAATGCTTCATGTGATTTTGATTTTATGCTTCTGTTTATACAACCAAGAATTGTGTTAACTTTTTTGGCTCCTGCTGCATACTGCTGGCTCATATTTAAGGAATTGTCCACTAGGACTCAAAGGCACCTCTCATAGTTACTGTTTTTGAGCCACATTTAGACTAATCTGTACTTGTACCTTTGGTTTTTTTCTGCCTATGTGTAATCTAAGTATACTATGTTCACAGCATTTCACTTGGCTAATTTAATCAGTTTCTCAAAGAATTAACAAAGATTGGTTTGGCATAATCTGTTTTTAGCTATTTGATTAAATTTTAAAATTAAAAATAAAATTTATTTAATTTTGCTCTATGATTCTATTCTATTCTATTCTATTCTATTCTATTCTATTCTATTCTATTCTCTTTATCATTTCCCTCTCTCTATCCTCCATCTCTTTCTCTCTTATCTATCTATCTATCTATCTATCTATCTATCTATCTATCTATCTATCTATCTATCTATCTATCTATCTATCTATCTATCTATCTATCTATCTATCTATCTATCTATCTATCTATCTATCTATCTATCTATCTATCTATCTCTATTGTCTGTCTGCCTGTCTGTCATCTCTTACTGCTCTATTATCTATCTGCCTATGTATTTTATCTGTCTCCCACCAGATGGCAGCATCTACACATGTCTGCTCCAGCTTGGAAGGTAAGATGGGCCCAGTCTCTTTAGCCTCTGGTAGGAAAGCTACCAAGAAACTAGTTCAGGAGTCTTCAAACGTGGCCCTTTTATGACTTGTGGACTTCAACTCCCAGAATTCCTCAGCCAGGCATTCTGACTGAGGAATTCTGGGAGTTGAAGTCCACAAGTCATAAAAGGGCCACGTTTGAAGACCCCTGAACTAAATTGAGGAGGTAGAAAACATTTCTTAATCAGGGGAAAAAAACACAACTTTTTTTTCCCCAGATTATTATTAGGAAATCTGCTCAGGCAGATCAATGATTTTCTTGTGAGATATTTCCAAATAAAATACTTTTCATTCTAGGGTGTTTTGCTCTGATTTGTTCCAAGTCATGCTAGGTACAAAATGTACAACTTTTACAAAATCTTTGGCCAGCCAGAGAAAATCAGAATAAGAAGACTTACACCAGTGATTTGGTTTTCCTCTAAACAGTTCATTTTCCATGAAGAGAGAGAGAGAGAGAGAGAGAGAGAGAGAGAGATTATTACATTTCATAATGAGGTGTGTGTGTGTGTGTGTGTGTGTGTGTGTGTGTGTGTGTATGTGAAATGAAGACTGTACCCCTGAAACCTATGGCACTAATATAACACTAATTACATTTGTGAAGAGTTATCCAGAGAATATTCATATTTCCATTTGACTTTGAAAATCAAGAACCTACTTTCTCCTGTTTGAGCCTGTCAGCTGTAGCAGTTAAAATGGCGGACTGGGAAAATCCCATCCTTGCTAAATGGTTTGGGACCTTTCAACCTTTCAACAACTGAGCCCACCTCACAAGGTTGGCGTTTGGGAACTGAAGTCAAGAGAAGGCTTTGCAGAGACCAACTCAATCTGAATGAGAAGGACAGAACTGTAACAAGGACAGGAGACAAGGGCTTGGTTATTCACTTAACAACTCTCTGATTCACTTAGCAGTGATTTGTTTAGCAACGGTAGCAAAAAAACAAGGTCATAGGTTGCTCAACAAACATTGAAATTCTGTTTCCAATTTTGGTCATTAAGTCAAGGACTATAGAATATTAGAGCATGATGAGAAATAGACACTTAATTGAATCAAAGTGGAAGGTCATGTGCCCTGGTCTTTGTAGTTCCAACATCTGCCTGAGTTTGCTGGTCACTGGAGCTAATGGCAAACTCTGCTTGCATTTAAACCTCAGTGAGGGCCTACCCCAATGCAAACATAAAAAATTGCACCCTACTGGTGTCCAGCTATTCACTAAGAGGAACTGTTAAAACTTCCAGCTCCTTACAGCACAATACAAATTGGCCATGTTCGTTTCTCCTTGAACATCTCCCTAGATACCCCTGAGAAAGTACAGAATGCTTTAATTAACCCGGAGAAGTTTTGTGTCTTTGGAGACATGAAGCTAAAAAGGAATCAAGAAGAACCAAAGTTAATTGATAAGCATGGGAGTTAGTTGTAAAGTTTAGAGAGGAGGAAGCAAACTTCCTCCCCCCCCTCTCTTGGTGTATTGGTAGAAGATGATAATGAGTCTTCTGTGAATGGTGAACAAAGATAATGAGAGTTTACTTTTAGTTAAATCAATTTGGATCTGAACAGGAGCTAGCTTGTTTGAAAGGAAAGCAGCAATGTCCCATTTGGGCCACCAGAGGGCAAATGGTTCAGTGAAACTAGCAAAGAAGGCATCACATTAATATTAATAATAACAGAATAACAAGAGTTGGAAGGGGTCTTCTGGTTCGGTCTCCTTCTCAAGCAGAAGAACCTACACCATTTCAGATAAATGGTTGTCCAATCTCTTCTTAAAAGCCTCCAGTGATAGAGCACCCACGACTTCTGAAGACAACTTCTGATTAATTGTTGCCATGGTCAGGAACTTTAGTTTGATTAGTGTTTTATTGACAATAAAAATAACAAATCTCAGCAGCAGAATCTCCTGAGGTGTCTTATGACTATTAAAGCCAGAAGTGTCTTAAACTGAGTTCATATTAGTTGACAAAATAGACACACATTTCTCTCTGTGTGTCTCTGTCTCTGTCTGTGTGTTTGTGTGTGAGAGAGGGAGAGAGACAGAGACAGAGAGAGACAGAGAGATCAAAATAATGGCCAGGAATCAAGGCACTTCCTTCTTTAAATGCATCATTCT